CAGCCCCTCTTTAAAAAAAAAAAAAAATTTTTTTTTGGTTGTAGTTGGACATAATACCTTTATTTTATGTATTTATTTTTATGTGGTGCTGAGGATCAAACCCAGTGCCTCACATGTGCTAGGCAAGCCCTCTACCACTGAGCCTCAGCCCCAGCCCTTCCCGGCCCTTTTTATTTTTTAAATATTTATTTTTTAGTTGTAGTTGGATACCATATCTTTAATTAATTAATTTATTTCTATGTGGTGCTGAGGATCGAACACAGGGCCTTGCCCACGGTCGGCAAGTGCTCCACCGCTGAGCCACAACCCCAGCCCCATCATCCCTTTTTAACATTTATTTTGCAGTAGGGTCTCACTTAAGTTGCCCAGGCTGGCCTCCAACTTGTGATGCCCTGTGTTAGCCTCCCGAGTACCTGGGATTACAGATGTGCGCCACCACAGTCTCTTTACAGATATGCTATAATGTCTCCCATCTTGGGAAAAGAAAGAAAATTATAATAATAAAGACCTTGTAGCTGCTTTCAGTTATACCATATATTTCTTCTGTACTCCTCAAAAGCAATGAGAGTGACTGAAACTTACCGTCTCCACTTTTCCCCTCCTGTTCACAGTGCTCGTCTCCCAGGTACTTGCTAGGCTTATTCCTCATTTAATTCAGATTTCTGCTTAGCTGGCAAATCCTCAGCACAGTCTCCCTTCACCACTGAACACAAAGGTCACCTCCTTTACCCTGCAGAACACAACCAAACTGACCTCCACTATACACTTACATGTTTTTAAGTGTGAAAGGCTCAAGAAGGAAAGGCATTTGCTTACCATTGAATCTCAGCAGTTAAATAGTATCTGACTTCTCTGTTGGGTGCTCAATAAAATATTAAGTGACGGGGCTGGGGCTGTAGCTCAGTGGTAGAGCAGTTGCCTGGCACATGTGAGGCACTGGGTTTGATCCTCAGCACCACATAAGAATAAGTAAATAAAATAAAGGTATAAAAATATTAACTGACAGTCTTAGTGAGTTTTGGCTACTGTAACAGAGTACTATAATCTGAGTGGTTGACAAACAACAAAATTCATTTCTCCTAGTTGTGGAGGCTGGAAGCCCAAATCAGGGCGCCAGAGTCGTTGGGTTCAGGCGAGGGCCTCTTCCGGGTTGACCTCTTCCAGTTTTGTCCTTACCTGGGCAAAAGGCTCAAGAGCTCTCTGGGGTCTTGTTTTTGTTTTTATTTTTATTGGTACTGGGGATTTAACACAGGGGCACGTAACCACTGAGCTACATCCCCAGTCCTTTTCATTTTTGAGACAGGGTCTTGCTAAATTGCTGAGGCCGACCTGTAACTAGCGATCCTCCTGCCTCAGGTTCTGGAGTCACTGGGATTAGGGGCCTGTACCACCGTGCCCACTCTGGGGTCTCTTTAAGCAAAGGCACTAATCTAATTCATGAGGGATCCACCTTCACGCCCCAAGGCTACACCTAATACCGTCACACTGGGGTTTGGGATTTTGTTGTGGATTGGATCGGAAATGCCCCCCAAAGTCTCATGTGTTCACGGTGGGGGCTTTTGGGAAGTGACTGGATCATGAAGGCTCTGACCCGCCATTCAGTTCACCTGTTGGAGACAGGATGGACTACTGGGAGGTGGGACCTGGTTGGAGGAAGTAGGTCCCTGGGGCGGCCCGGGAGGGTGCATCTCTCTCTTGCCTCCCACCCCACTTTCTGGCAGCCGTGAGCCGACAGCTTTAATACCTCTGGGCCTGGCGCCACGGTGTTGCACTTGACCTGTGGCCTGAAGCAGTGGCACCAGATGACTATGGACTGAAAGCTCTGAAACCACGAGCCCAAATAACTGGTCCCCACTCCAAGTCGTTTGTGTCAGGAAAACACACAAGGAAAAGCCGGCTGACAGAGAGGTCTCAACATGGGTTTTGCAAGGACACAAAATGCAGTCCATGAGGGACTGGGATGAGCTCAGTGGCAAAGTACTTCTCTCGAACGTGCAAAGGCCTGGGTTTGATCTCCAGTTCTAAAAAAAAAGAGAAACAAACAAACAAAAGCCCAACCAAGAAAGGACTGAGGGGGCTGCGGGTATAGCTCAGCAGTAGAGTGCTTGCCTAGTATGCATGAGGTCCTGGGTTCAATCCCCAGCACCCTCCTCAAAAGCAGGGGCTGGGGATGCTCACTGATAAAGAACTACTGGGCTCACTTCCCAGTACAAAAAAACCCCTAAAATTCAGTCCATGAGAATGGGTGAATATAATTGTAAAAGAATTTAAAAATGAAAAAAATTTCCAGTGAGTGAATGAACACTTTTTTTTTTTGGTACTAGGGGTTGGACTCAGAGCCACTCAGCCACTGAGCCCTGTCCCTGGCCCTACTTTGTATTTTATTTAGAGACAGGGTCTCACTGAGTCGCTTAGCGCCTCACTGTTGCTGAGGCTGGCTTTGAACTTGGGATCCTCCTATCTCAGCCTCCTGAGCTGCTGGGATTACAGATGTGCGCCACTGTACCCTACTTGAAAGAATACATCTTTTATATATTGTTCTACAAATAGCTTTTAAAAAAATGTAACAGTACATATAGGATATTTTCCCATTAAAGAAATGATAGACTGGGTGTGATGGCACACACCTGTAATCCCAGTGGCTCAGGACGCGGAGACAGGAGGATGGTGAGTTCACAGCCAGCCTCAGCAAGGCAACTCAGTGAGACCCTGTCTCTAAACAAAATACAAAATTGGGCTGGGGATGTGGCTCAGTGGTTGAGTTCAATCCCTTGTACCAAAAACAGTTAAAAAAAGTGTTGTGGATCAGTCGTTAAATGCCCCTGGTACCAAAAATAAAATAAAATAAAAATAAAGATTAAAAACATAAAAAGGGCTGAGACACAGCTCAGTGGTAGAGCACCCGTGGCTTCAATTCCCAGTACCACAAAGCTGGGGAGAGCGAGAGGACTTGAGCTCTCCCATAAATTAGCTTTAGAGATTTGGCAGATCTTCTCTGCCTTCGTTCACGTGTTGATTTAAATGTTGAGCATCAAGCTCAACAGAGGTACCTTTTTTGCTTTAATATTGACCCTTTACTCAACAATCAAGTTTTCTTTCTTTTTTTTTTTTTTTTTTTTTTTGTGGTGCTGAGATTGATCCCAGGGCCTTGTGCATTTGAGGCAGGCCCTCTACCACTGAGCTATGTCCCCAGCCCTACGATCAAGTTTTCCACTGTGATGGTCTGGTAACAAATCCTTTTATCATGAAAGTCTGGCTTCCAGTATCCCTGGGTTTCACAGGCCCGTCCTGAGAGACTTTATCAAGGGCCCCTGGAAAACAAGATACCCTGTGTCTTTGCCATTCCCTGATCTACCGGGTACTGGCCCAGCTGGATACAGGAGAACACAGAAGGGTGATGCAAATGAGCAGCTACTACTGTGAGGGAGGAGGGAGCCAGGTTGGATCTGTCCCCACAAAGGCTCCCTGAGTATTATTGGGTCAACCCGGACTGGTGCAGTGGTGTGCTAGCGCCAGCTCTGCCTGCCGGTGAGAGCAGGTTGTGTGTGTCTCTCTCCAGCTCTGTGTCCAGTGACATCCTATTTGTAGTGTATGCTAGGCCGCGGTGGGAGTATGTATGTCAGAGCAAACCGTCAGAGCAGGCCCCTCCACCTCTCTGCTGGTGTCCTGGAAGTTGGGACCCCGGGGCAGCCCAGCCCAGGCCTGCAGCCTTTTCCTTGAGGTAAGGGGCGGGGCTGGTGCTCTCTGAGGGGCGGGCTGTCGGAGGACGGTAAGCTAGCAAATCTCCCCTCTTCTGTCCCAAGATCCCTCCTTCTAACCTGCCCTTCCCTTTCAGGATGTGGGCTCCTTAGATGAGAAGATGAAGAGCTTGGATGTGAATCAGGACTCGGAGCTCAAGTTCAATGAGTACTGGAGACTGATTGGGGAGTTGGCCAAGGAAATGAGGAAGGAGAAGGCGCAGGAGATCCGGAAGAAGTAGAGCTGCTGGCCGGGATGGCGGTGGGGAGAGTAGGCCTGGCAGGGCCAGGAGAACCCATCACTCCCCAAATAAACCTTCTCCCTCGAAGCACACAGGCTTCTTTCTTTTTTCAAAATATTTTTTAGTTGTTGATGGACCTTGACTTTTTATTTATTTCTATGGGGTGCTGAGGTTCGAAGCCAGGGCCTCACCCATGCTAGGCGAGCGCTCTACCTCTGAGCCCCAGCCCCAGCCCCTGGCACACGTTTCTTATTCACATCCCCTACTGATATCTTCTCTTGAGATGGGGAGGGGGCGGGAAACTGCCCTGACCTGAGGGTGAGTCTGAAAATTATGAGGTCCTTGAATACAGGGACCGTGAATTCATCTTCAGATATCCCACAGCGTCTGACATGAGGTCTAGCACCGAATAGGTGCTCAGTGAATAAATGGCTGGATTGGGCATTGTGGTGCACTTGGATTTGGGAGGCTAAGGCAGGAGGATTGCAGGTTTGAGGGCAGCCTGGTGAGGCCCTGTCTCAAAAGAAAAAATAAGAGGGACTGGGGATGTAGCTCAGGGGTACAGCATATCTGAATTCAATCCCCAGTCCAAAATAAAAATAAAAACCTAAGAAGTAAAAAAATAGGTAAGTAGATAAGTGGTCGATGAATAAATGTGTGAAAGACGCAGAGATCTGGGTTCTATCCTACCAGGTGTCTCCTGGGGCTCAGTTGCATAGTTATAACCCCAGTTTTCCCTATCCTATCCCTCGAGTTTGTCCCAGGATGACAATGACAGCAGCGAGCAGGTGTCACTGGCTGACGATATGTCAGGCATAGGCTGAACATGTCACCTGTATTATTTTAGTTAATTTTCACAACTTTTTTTTTTTTTTGGTACTGAGGAGTGAACCCAGGGGCACTCAACCACTGAGCCACATCCCAGCCCTTTTTTGTATTTTTATTTAGAGACAGGGTCTCACTGAGTTGCTTAGGGCATCACTAAGGTGCTGAGGCTGGCTTTGAACTCACCATCCTCCTGCCCCAGCCTCCCGGGCTGCTGGGATCACAGGAGGGAGTCACCATGTTCAGCCAATTTTCACAACTTCCTTCCTTCCTTCCTTCCTTCCTTCCTTCCTTCCTTCCTTCCTTCCTTCCTTCCTTCCTTCCTCCCTCCCTTCCTTTTGCAGTACTAGGGATTGAGAGAGACATGGTCTCACTAAGTTGCCTAGGCTGGCTTCAAACCTGTGATCTTTCTACTTCAGCCTTCTGAATAGCTGGGGCTTTAAGTGTGTACTACCACACCCCACGAGGTAGGTAGTATTTTTAAGTCCAGAGACTCGAGAGACTTGAGGCAGGAGGATCCCAAGTTGGAGGCCAGCCTCAGCAACTTAGTGAGATCCTGTCTCCAAAAAAACCCACAAAAAACCAAAAAGAAAAAAAGGAGGCTGGGGATGTGGCTCAAGCGGTAGCATGCTCGCCTGGCATGCGCGGGGTGCTGGGTTCGATCCTTAGCACCACATAAAAATAAAATAAATATGTTGTGTCCACTGAAAACTAACTAAATAAATATTAAAAATTCTCTCTCTCAAAAAAAGGAAAGGACTGGGACTGTACCTCAGTAGTAAAGGGTCCCAGAACCCCCCAAAAAAGGTGATGGATTTTTGGAGAGGTTAAATCACAAAGACAAGGACAAGCAGAACTGGGTTGAAATTCCAGAGCCTCTAGCTCACCAGAGTCCTCCGTGGGTCGCCCCGGGAACACTAGACCTCAGATCCCAGCCTCCCTCCACCGCAGCAGACACGCAGAGCGGGGACTGGTGAGGTAGGTTGTGGGGGGCCATGGCACTGAGGGAAGCAGAACCTCCGACAGTGCGCATTGGCTTGAGGGGCATGCGGTGTGCTGTACCGGCCACCAGAGAGAGCAGAGGCGGGCCAGTCAGCAGGACGGCCTCCTAGGGCTGCCTCTGCTGTGCCTGCGGGTGCCCATGTGGGGCAGCTCGTAGCCCAGAAAAACACAGAGGCTGAGGCAAGCTCCCATACACCCCAAAAAGAGGCTCCCGATGAAGACGTCACGCCGGAGGAGCACCAGACGGAGACCTCAGAGACTTCCTGGCTGGAGGGGCCACGGGCAAAGACCTTCTAGGAGGGACCTCAGATGGACTCCTCAGGGAAGCTCTCAGATGGAGAGACCCTGGAAGGGGGTCCCTGAATCCAAGTCCTTGGGACTCCCTTGTGGAAGGGCCTCGAGTTACAGAGGGCCCTAATCAAGGCTGAGAGTTCAGGAGAAGGTGACCCAGGGAGGTGGGGAAAGGGCCCAGGCACTTTGGCTCTGAGTCCCACTCCCTCTCTGCCCTGATCCACACGGACGGGACCCACTGCCTGTCTTGAATTCCCTCCCCATGACTTTAGGTCCCAGGCCCCTGAGCCTGGGGAGGTCGGGAGGGACATTTGGGTTGGGCTCAGTTCCCAGAAGTACAGTGAAGGCTCTCTGGGGTGGCATCCTGGGGACTGGGTTAGAGGGCATGGGTTGCTGTGGAGCTGGGGGGCTAGGGGGGCGTGGGATTCTGAGGGAGGGACGGACCTGCAGCCCAAGTATTTTGGAGAGGTGGTGAGCTGCCGTCTGGGCCCTGCCTATTTGCAGTCTGGGCTGCTGAGGGAGCTGACAGGAAGTCAGTCAATGCTCTCTGTGGCTCTCTACCTGGCTCTCCTCCTCCTCCTCCTCTTCTTCTTCTTGGGATTCAATCCAGGGGTGCTTAACCACATCCGAAGCCCTATATTGTATTTTATTTAGAGACAGGGTCTCACTGAGTTGCTTAGTGCCTCGCTTTTGCTGAGGCTGGCTTTGAACTCACGATTCTCCTGCCTCAGCCTCTGGAGCTGCTGGGATTACAGGCCTGCGCCACAGCACCTGGCATCCCCGGTCCTTATTTATACTTTATTTAGAGATAGGGTCTCACTAAGTTGTTTAGGGTCTTGCTAAACTGCTGAGGTGGGCTTTGAATTCAAAATCCTCCTGCCTCAGCCTCCGGAGCTGCTGGGATTACAGGTGTGTGCATCACACCCGTCCTAGGCTGCTGACCTTCTTTGGTCCTTCCTCCTGACCTCTTCATTCATGTCTCAGCCATCAGGACCGGGAGTGGCTGGGCTCTGGGGTCTGGGTAGGCTGGAGGGTCCCTATCCCTATTGGCTTTGGTTGGGAAGTCGGGCAGAGAGAGAGGTATCTCAAAAGTACCGGGAGGGGGCTGGGGTTGTGGCTCAGCACAGTGCTCACCTCACACATGTGAGACCCTGGGTTCCATCCTCAGCACCACAGAAAAATAAATGGGTGAAATGAGGGTACATGTCCAACTACAACTAAAAAATAAACATTAAAAAAAAAAGGTACAGGGAGGCCCCCTGCAGACCTCTTTCAAGTTCTACATCTACCTTCATTCTGCAAACCTCACATCAGCCCCTGCTTCTCTTTCTTCCCTAGCTACTAATGGAGACCCCCTCTGATCCTCGCGGTTCCCCCAGGTCATCCCACCTCCCTGGCGTGGCTCTCTAAGTCCCCCTTCCCTTCCTCCCCCACCTTCCTTCCCTCTCTCCCTGTGACTCTGCCTGCTGATCTGGGGCCAGGGGTGTCCCAGCCCCAGCCCTCCAGGGCTCCCTCCTCGTGGCAGGGGTGGGGACTGGCTCTGGAGCTCTGGCCCATGGAGGGTGGGGCCCACACAGCTGGCTCCCGGCCCAGGCTGCTGCAAGAGCTGGGGTGGCTCTGAGGCCCAGCCCCCTGCTCCCCTCCCTTCCCCCAGGTATAAGAGCCCAGCTGAGGTGAGCTGGCTCCTCCCGTCCAGTCTCAGCGGCTGCCAGCAGGTAAGGAAACCCAGGGCTTTTCTCCTGTCCAGGGAGCACCCTGAGCCTCTCTTGCCTGAGTCTCCCAAGGGAGGGCTGGGGCCTGGGTCCGGGAGCTCCTGCGTCTTGAGCCTAAGTGGGTGGCTGGAGGTGGGAGACTGAGGTGAGACCTCTAAATGGGTGGACTTGGGCACTGTGGCCTTATCTCCTGGGCCCTGGGCAGGGACTGGGTCTGTGTGGGGTTGCCTCTGACCCTGGGGGTGAGGCAGAAGATCTTGGGTGGAGCCAAAAGGGGTCATGGGGACAGAAAGCAGAAGTGTCCCCTGACCTCAGGTCCCCTTTCTCCAGGCAGATCATGATCCATCTGTTCTGCCGGCTCAGGCTCTAGGACGACGAGACTCACCAAGGGACCAAGTGCTCCGGGCACCATGGGACAGTGTCGGTCAGCCAATGCTGAGGTGGGGCCCTCCGCTCTTGGCCTGTTTCCCTCTTCTTTCCCACCCCACGGACTCCTGCCCCTCACCTGGGCCTTGGCCTCCACCCAGACCTCGCCCGTGAGGCCTGAGATCCCTCCCTGAACCCCACACAAGGTGATGGGATGGAAGAGGGTGTCTGCCCACGTGCTGGGGCCCGTCCTGCCCGGGGATGGGGGTGGCCGGGAGGAAAGTCTTGCCCAACCCGTGGGTCAGGGCAGAAGCTGCTGGGGGCTGGGGTGCGGGTGAGGGAGAGGGACTAGGTCCCGGGCTCTGGAGCGGGCAGGGCCACTCCAGCTGTCTCCTGCCCTGCTGGCTTTACCCAGGCTCCCGGGCATCAGGAGCCTCCCTGATGTGCTTAACGTCTGCTGCCTGCAGGACGCCCAGGAGTTCAGTGAGGTGGAGAGGGCCATCGAGACCCTCATCAAGAACTTCCACCAGTACTCGGTGGAGGGCGGGAAGGAGACACTGACCTCCTCCGAGCTGCGGGACCTGGTTACCCAGCAGCTGCCACACCTCATGCCGGTACTGAGGGGATGGACCCCACCCTCGTCAGTCCCCTGACTTCCCAAGCTAGCGCCTCACGACCCCACCCACACGGGCACTGGCCACCCCTAGCTTCCCCCTTGCCAGTGCCGGGCAGGCTCAGGTCCTGCTGTCTGCCCCTGGGCAGGGCGGGGTGGGAAGATCCCAGGCCCTGTCTTGCTGAGCTGTGGCCTCTTCCCTCTGCCCAGAGCAACTGTGGGCTGGAAGAGAAAATCGCCAACCTGGGCAACTGCAACGACTCTAGACTGGAGTTCGGGAGCTTCTGGGAGCTAATCGGAGAAGCGGCCAGGAGCGTGAAGCTGGAGAGCCCTGTCCCAAGGAGCTGAGGACTTCTCCCTGGAATCTCTTAAGGGGGGATACGGGGGAAAGGGGACCTTCAAGACGGTGGGCCTGGAAATCAAACTTCTCTCCATCACCCCCACCCTGTTCCCCAGCCTGTACCTTTCCTCATCCCTGCCAAGTTCAGGTTCACAATAGCCCTCTCCAGGGTCTCTGAATACCTCCTTCCCGTGCTCTGTGGAGATGGCGGGACCCAGAGACCCCGCCGGGGAGGGGGGAAGCTCAGGGAGCAGGTGGGGACCAGGGAGGACAGGGAGGGGTAACAGTGGTGGAAGGGCGGAGTGATTTGATCGTGGGGAAAGGGCAGAGGAGCTGGGCTATGGGAAATGATTTGAAGAAGGGAGCTGGGGATATGGCTGGATAGGGTACCCAAAAGGATGTCTGAGAACCTACCCCTCTCCATCTCCAAACGAAATTATAGCTGTCTGTCCCAGGCTATCCCTTCCGGCCTCCAGCCCTGCCCCACCCTCCTCCCAAGACTCTGTCCCAGGGCTAGGGCCGGGGAGGAGGGAGAGCTTGAGGAAGAGGCTGGGAGGGTGTGACTGTGGGGAGAGGAGCCGCTGGTGCGTGGGCATTTACAGAATGAGGGTTGTTTTGTATCATTTGATTAATAAAAAAATGGAAAAAAAAATTAAAAGGTGTTGTCTTGATTGGACACTTGCCCTGGGGTCCAGGGGTGAGGGATCCTTGGGGGCAGGTGGTAGAGTCATCGGTGGGACAGACCCAGGGAAGGAGAGCAGTTGCAGTGGAACTGACTGGGTGTGGCCTTGTCCCCAGGGATCTGGGTGAGGGTGGAAACAAGCCCAACCAGCCCGAGACCTGGTCCTCTCTGAGGCACAGGCTCTGCCTTGTCCAGGAGCTGATCCTCCAGCAGGAGATGAGGGCCCAGGTGTGCACACCTGGGGAAAAGGACATGAAGGAACAGCAAAGGGCTGAGATCCAGGCTGACCCGCCTGGGTTGAAGTCCCATCTCTGCCACTTGCATCTGTGAAACTCTGGACATGCTTTTCAAGTGTGTCTGTCACCTGTAAAAAGGGGATAGGCACAGGATATAGGCGTGTCAGGAAGATCACGGGCAGCACTTACAGACAGCCCAACACACAGATGCATGCCCAGTGAGTGCAAGTCCCTGGGAGTGGGAGAGAGTCCCCACCACAGGGAGGTGGAGCTGGCCAGTTTCCTTGGGGACCTGGGGGATTTGCAGAGGAATCCTCTATGGTGCACGAGGGGTTTTGGGGATGGGTCTCAGCAGAGGTGAGGATGTGCTGACCTGGAGAGGGAAGACCACAGCCCACCTGTGCAAACCCAGGGTCGACAGAAGTCAGGTGTTCTTCCTGACATCCAAACATCGAGGAAGCTTTTGTGGCCGGCTAGGCGGACCGGAATGCTTCCTGAACTTGTCTGTGGAGGGCCCCTGAAACTGGGCTCCCAGTGGCCCAGGTCAGAAGGGCAGGTGACCGTCCTGCCCTGCCTTTCTCCACTCTGTCAGGTTCTGCTCAGGCCCTGTGGGGTCAGGAGGGTGGAGTTGGGGGAGCGCCAGGTTCCACCACTCCCTCTGGGGTGGCAGTCGAGGGGTGTGAAAAAAGGTGTGTATCCCTTTAACCAGGGCCCAACCCCAGGGCCAAGTTAAGAAGGAGCTCAGCCACTACCTCCCCACCAAGCCAGCTCAGCCAGGCAGGGCCGGGAGGGAGTGGGACAGATTCTGGGAGTGCAGCGGGGAGGAGTCCTGGCCGGGCTGAACGGGGAGCTGTTGGCAGTGCCAGAGCCCAGGCCCCAGAACCCTGCAGGAGTGGAGGTGGATCGAGCAGCAGGTGAGCACCCCAGATCCGGTCTGGGAGGTCTGGGGCTGCCCAAGGGACCCTGCAGGCTTGGGAGGCCAGGAGAAGGGGCAGTGAAGGGGGCCTGGGGACAGGGGACTTCCAGAGGCAGGGCAGGAAGAGGTTTTGTTAATTATTAACTTTTCCCAAAGGCCAGTGTGAGAATGAGGAGTCCTGCTGTGGCTGGGGGCTCCAGGGGGGCCTCCAGAGGAGTGGGCAGGGTGGTGAGACCCTCTCTGGCCCAGCAGCTGCCTGGGCTCTTCTCCAGGGGCTGGGACACTGGGCAGAACCCTGGGAGCCTTGCCCACAGCTGCTCGGCCCTCCCTGAACAGAAGGGACAAGTGTGTGTTGGTGGGGACGGTGGGGTGGTCAGATGTGGGACACAGGCCTCTCTGGGGTCTGGGAGTTGTGTCCTGGGAGACTGAAAAGGACCCAGGAGGGTCCAGAGAGCCTCAGAGCCCAGGGAAGGAGGCCGGGGCTGAGGTGGCTTCTTTACCTGAAGACCATGGGCAGGTCCCGGATGCAGGCCCCGTGGTGCTCCGGGAGTTGTTCCTTGGGAGGGGCCTGGGTGAGGCCCTGGGGAAGCCTGGGAGCTCCCTGGGAAAGGGAGAGGGAAAGAAGCCAAGCCTTAAACCCGAAGCTTCTCCACCTTGGGACCCGGGCAGGTCCTGGCTTGACTGCCTTGGCTTGGCAGAGCCCCTGGTGCTATAGGAGCCTCGGCCTGCCCAGCCCAGCCGAGGTGGGGGTGAGGGCAGGGTGGAGGTGAGGAGGGAAGCTCCCTGAGTGGTGAGGCCAGGTGCAGCGTGTGTCTGGGTTTGCACACGTGCCTGCACCTGCCTCCAGCTTCACTCATCTGTAAGAAATTTCAAAGAAGTCCACCGCGTAGTGGTCTGAAAGCACAAGAGGGCAGAAGGTAAATGAGGTGCCCAAGCAAAGGGGATCCGTAAAGGCCGGGCCCCTGGCTTCTGTGTGTGCAGGTGTGAATGAACCCTGTGAGGGTGGGAAGGGCTGAGGCAGGTCACCTGTGAGAACCATGAACCTCAGGCCACTGAGAACACAGCAGAGAATGGACCTGTTGATTGAGGCTGGAGAAATTCTTTTGAAATACTTATTGCAAATACAGATCGCCTTCCCAGGCCTGTTCAGATTCCCAGCCCAGTTCTTCAACAGGCCTTCCCAGTGTACCCAGGGCACTTGGGCCAGAAGGAGTGAGTCAGGAAGGGAAGGCCTGCGGCTGGGACTAGGGCTCAGTGGGAGGGGGCCTAGCCAGCACAAAGCCCTGGGTTCCATCCCCAGCACCGAGTCCCTCTCTCCTGCAAAGAGAAAGAATGACTGAGCACATGAGCAGAGAGCGTGCAGGAGCGTGAATAAGTGAGTGAGTGGTAGATGGGAAGCAGATGGAAGGAACTCAAAATGCCAAACTTGAGCTTGAGAATGGATAGACTCTGGAGAATCCCAGAGACGAGGGGACTAGGAGTTTGGGGACACAGCCCAACGCTTGGAAACGATGTAAGAGTCCGGAAGTGTGTGCAGGGTGGCAAGAGGTGCATGTTGGGGCTGTGGTGGAGGTTCAGGGTTCCGGAATGAAGGGGACTGGTGGGGGGGTGTCAGCAGACACTCGAGGGGGCGGGGCCAGAACCTGGGGGTGGGAGGGCGGGGCTGGCGCGGCTGAGATCCAGGGGATGGTGTCAGGGCAATTTGGGCTTTTTGGAGAAGTCAGCAAGCTGGGCTCAGGTGGGCGGGGGTGGGAGGTGGGAGCCTGCGGGTTGCTCAATGATGAATCAGCCACGGAGAAGACGGGGAGAAGGTGGGGGCCAGGGAGGGGCTCTTTGGAGGACAAGTGGTCCCCTTTTCCCACTTTCTTGACAGTCTCCAGTGTGCACTGTCACATCCTGACTCCCCCCCTGCCCACCATTCTCGGCCAAGATCTCTTGAGACAATGTTACTGCAGCAACCCCTTCCCGGCCACCCATCCTAGAGAGGGGCCCTAGGACAGCACAGCTGCCCTTCCCCCATACCTGGAGATAGGTCCAGAGGTGAGAGGATGGGCATCCGGAGGAGCAGGTGGCTATGGGCTGGGTGGGGTGGCAGATCCTGTCTCCTGGCCCCCAGGGGAGGGTGGGAGGTGGAGAATAATGACACGTGATGGTGACTGTCCCGCTCTGATAACCTGCCATCGGAAAGAGCTTCAGAAAAGTGTTTGTCTCGATGGTTATCTCCGTGTGGTCCATTTTACCAGTAGAAGGGCGCGGGGGCTGATTCCCGGGAGGGGGACCCGGGAGTGGAAGCCCTGGAATGTTCCTCTCTGGCTTGCCCAGCCCACCTGAGAGCCAGAGGCTGAGTCTTCTTTTGGGTGCTCACCTGGGCCTTGCCTACTTGGCCCCTGCCGCAGGGAGGGTAGGGGTTGGGCATGGTGTTGAGGAAGAGTAGGAGGAGCTGCCTGTGGCTGGAGAAGTAAGACTTCAAAAGGCAGGTGGAGGGAGAGGTGGGTCTCGTGGGGAGGGGCAGAGGTTCACCACCCCACACGCCCCTATCTTTCCCTTCCCTCTCCCTGACTGCTCCCCACGGGATTCCCAGGGTAGGAACAGGTCTGAGGGGGTTAATTGTGGGAGGGGTCTCCAAATGCTCTCCCTACTCCCCAGGCTTGTTGGGAGTGGGTGTGGCATCATCCTTCCGGGAATGGGTACCATTTCCAGAAACCCCAGGAGCTCTCTGGTCATGAGCTTGGGTACCTCCCACCCAAGAGCAGCGGAGCAGACAGACCGTGGTTGACATTTTTTTCCTCCTCTTTATTTGTGGATGTCAGAGGATTTGTCTGAACGTCTTATTGAACCACACACTTAAATAAAGAGTACGGTTTCCTGCAGTGCTGGCATTTTATGTCATCTGTCCAGCCACAGACCAGAGTGGTCATGTGGGCCAGGGCAGGGAGAGAAGGGAAGGATTGCCTGCTGGAGATGCCACTGACCCTTCTCCCTGTCAACTCTCCTTCCTTCTTCCTTCCTGGGCTATTTCCTCCCCGGGTCTCACCCTTCCTTGAGAAAAAGCTCCTAGGAGGTCCAATATTCCTAGAACTATCTCCCTGGAGCAAGGCTCAGAGCCGAGCAAGGCAGGCGGGCCAGGGGAGTCAGGGAGACCAGAAGAAGGGCTGTTGTGTACCCCGAGGAAAAAATCATTGTCCTCAGGTCTATGCATTCTGTGGTTTGGCTCAGGAAATGCAGCTGCTGCATATCAGTCCTTGCCCCAAGGACTGAGACCAGAGCTGTAGAGACAGTGGCCACACCAGTTAGTGGCTCCAGACAGGGCCGGGACAGTGAAGAGTCGGGGAGGAACGTGCCCAGGGCAGGGGTCAAGGCAGGCCTCCAAGGGAGGCGTGGTTTGGGCAAGGCCAGAGTGATGGGCAGGCTCAGCTGGGTGGAGCAGGCCTGGCCATGGGCATGGGAGTAGGAATGGCCGCGAGGGTAGGGGAAAGCAGGTGGCAGGGCAGGAGGCTGCACTGTGGGGCCTAGAGAAGAGGACCCCCATTTCCCGTCAGCCTGCTCTGTGGCTGGGCCCATCTCCCTTTGCCAGAACCAGCTGAAGGCGGCTGGAGCTCATTCTTGGCCTTGAGGGTGGGAGGGGTGTCTGATTTGCCTGGGTTGACTTGGGGGGGCTCTGGGCATGGGCGGCGACTCACAGAGGAGATCCGCCTGCTCCCCTCATATCCTGTTATTCAGAAGGCTGTATCTGCCTGGAATGTGAGTGCCTTTTGTCCTTGGGTGAGGGGGTGACGCAAGTGGCCTCTGGCAGGCAGCTGTTGTGTCCAGGG